TTACGTGAGGATTGGGAAGTCAACGGAGACGAAGACCCAACGTTCCATCGAATGCGCCGTGTAAGCAGACGACGATAACCCAACCAAAAAGAAAAAAAAGAAGAGACAAGTCCTTCGATACCCCGTCAACTACGGGAGCATCCACAAGTCCATGGAATTTGCAGGCTCGATAGAGGCCGAAATAGAGGTCCAGGCCGGTTCAGGATGAGCCCGAATTTTATCTTCATAAAAAAAAAGATCAATTATTAGATTTTTGACCTCAAATATCACTTTTTTTTACATTTTTATTTTTTAACTTATTTATGACTTTACCAAAGTACTTTGAGTATCACTAAGGGGGAACTCGAAATCTTGGCCTGTGCCTATACGGACTTGAAAATTCCGGCCATTTGATCTGGGTCAATCCAGTCTTTTTTGCTCTCCCCTAAAACTAAGTGTCACATGAGACGAATTTTTATATCGTGGGAGCCACTTCTTGATCCTTATAAGAGCAAAATGGTAAATAGTGGGAATCACCTTTCGAACCGATGGGAGCCACCCCTTCAAGTGCGCCCACCCAGGTGTATCAATGGGATTGGTTATGTGGTTTGCATCATCGAATATCATCTAGTATGAAGCTAAACTTTGTCATTTATATGCAGCATGTTGATGCGTCTAGTACGAGGAAATTGAAGAATAAAGGGGTATGGAGAGTTAGTACACGAATTTAGGGAAGAATCAGCAGTTCTAGCTTGATTCAAGCTCGTTTTCATGGAGAATTGCTTTTTAAGTGCTTTTTAAGTACTCATGCTTTGATATAGGTCCAACACATTCATAGAAATAACATAAGTGCCAGCATTCTCGAGATCTTAAGTGATGAAGTTTATATGTTAACATGGATAAAAATAGCATGTAAAAATACCAACATATGCAGATAAAACATTTACATTCGGGTATGCATATGCAAAGCGCGGATATTGTAACCTGTTACAAAAGAAATCAAAACTTCTAGTGTAAAGAGAATAATTTTCTCTTAGAAATAGGAAGTAAATATTTGGAATTTACTTATACCTCGACCAGCAACATCAGTCAAATAATCACAATTGGCCTGTTTGTGGATGAACGTGGCTCACCGGTGACTAGAGCTAGGTCGTAATGTCTCAACTTTGGCCCTAAATAAAATAGAAATTAAGAAAATAAATTTATCAAGATTTTTTTATCTACATATACCGACAAAAAAAGAAGCGATCTTATCAATTATTTTCAATTAAACAATTTTATTGAAATAGATTGAATATAATGTTAACATACGAAGGACGAAGTCAATGATTATTGCTTTTTTAACATGCATGCACAGTTCTACTGATGAATGTTAGAATCAAGAGTTGCTAATGAAATGAATAAAAAAATTATTGTTTCAAGCTTTTTAACAGATCGAACGAGCTTGGACTTGAGCTCTTTTTTCTTATTCCCCAAATGAAAGATCAGACTTATTACGCTGTTATCATAAAAAAAAAAAGTCAGTGTAATTAATTTTTTAATATGAGGAATCGTCCTCGTCTCTCTTGCAGAAAGTGAAAACAACATATCGGTTGTTTCATAATCTAAATGTTTCATAATCTAAATGCAAATCATAGTACACTATTTAATTTAGGTGAATCCAAAGCTCTTGCCTCATAGAATGGGGCATTATTTTGACATTATAGTTCATCATTCGACATACAACTTATTATTGTAATTACATAAGGCTTCTGGCCTACATAGTTCCCGGGAGGATCGTAGTTACAAGTGACCAAAGCACCGCCCGTCGCACATTGGATCTTTGCGCATCCGAGCCTAACCGAGTTGCCCCACACCACCTGAGTGTAATGCCCACAGACCTTTCCCGGTGCGCATGAGTTGGAATTGTAGTCATAGTCGGGCTTTTCCCCGACCCACATGTTCACCGCTCCTGTGCCAGTAAGATTGGGGGAAGCCCATGCAAGGTTCTCCCCATAGGGTCCGCCTGAATGAACGAGTCGCGTGCAGTCGTTGGCATGCTTGTTGGCGTAATCCCTGGCATAGCCAGCCACGCCCTCGTCCCACGCAATCGGGCCCACACTGACCTGAAAGCGGGCCGCATTTTGGGCCGCGACATAGTCTTGGGGCAAGTCCTGGGCGATGGACAAAGGGATCGGCACTATGCTTAGCGCGATGAGGAAAGTAAGACATAGGGGGACTGTCACACAGGAACTCATATTGTGAGAGACCAAAAGAAATTTGACAAAGGATGGATCATAGTTGATTGATGAAGAGATGAGCAAAAGCTAAAGGGTTATTTATAGGATGATCATGAGGAAAAATCTGTGCATGGAAAAGTCAAATGTTCAAACTAGGCCACGATGACCGGAGAGTTGCCCGTCAAATTGATTGATGACTGAATGTCACCTTCATGTGATTATTTTCATTCTCTGTAAAACGTTAGTTTTTTGCTATAGATATTCATTAGACACGTTAGAAGGTAATTTATCTTGAAACTCTTCTCTCTTTCCACGAAAATCCTTTACATATGTCGTCTTGGGTAAATCTCTACTCTTGATTGTATCGTTTGGCCTTTCCACGAAATTGGTTTCGAGTCCAAGTCTATCATGAGTCAAGCAATAAAGGACGAAGCGTCAAGCTCAGGCAGTCAAGTTGATGCATTCTCGATTTTTCTATCTAATGTTTGCACGAAAGCGAGTTTAAAAAATATCGAATACATGAGTATGATGTTTATTTTTGGTTATAATTAGAAATTTCACCATAACTTCCGAAGATATTATATGCTTTGACAAAGCAATAGTTGGTAATTTTTTCAATTCAGTCATAAACCTTTCAACTTCGTCAATTGATACCTAAATATTTTCACGTTTAACTAATTGAGTCTATCCGGTCAATTTTAATTGGAAAATGCTGACGTGGATACCGGCTGTCCTACGTAGTATGACTGATACTGATATGAACAATTTTTATTAATACTTTAATATTTTTTTCCGAATTTTTTTATTATTATTTTTTTATTTTTCCTTTCTTTCCTTTTCCTTTTCCTTTCCTTTCCTTTTCTTTTCTTTTCTTTGTTTTTTATAAACCTTTGGCCGGTGAGGTCGTCGGTTGACCATCGCCAGCCATAGGCGGCTGGGCGAGGGCGCCGCTATCCTCGCTAGCCACAGGCGGCTGGCCGAGAGCGTCATGGTCCTCGCCAGCCACAAGTGAGGGCGTTGAGCCCTTGCCCAGATCCAACCAAGGGTGACGCGCCCCTCGTCGGCCAAAAGAGGAAAGAGCATCCAAAGATCGCCGGGAAAAGTAGGCAATTGATCTTGCACCCGGATTATACAGACATAAATGGAAAAGGAGAGAGAGAGAGAGTCGGAGCCCGACCGTGCAGATGAGTAGGTCAATGGTGGTGGTTGCTTCAGCTAGAGAAAGTAGATTTTTGCCCGAGTAGGTGATGGACACCCTCGCCTGTTGGTCGACGAGGGTTGCGATGCCCTCGCTTGGTCTGGGCTAGAACATTTGGGGGGAAGAGATAGAGCGAGAAAACCGGGGAAAAAGTTGAGCCTATTGTTGGAGTTGGCGAATACTTCGGGGACCCTTGTTTCTCACACCGGGTACGCCCACGTGAGCTTAGGGAAACTGAAGTGTTATCCGACGACATGTGACCCCTGCGTGCGGAATGTGGGGGTTCGGGGGCGCGCCCCGACACGGAACCAATCCGTGCCGGTCAGCGGGCGGGGTTCGAGGCGCGCGCCCGACGGGGGGTTCTGCTGCCGGTCGACGGACGGCCGCCGCCGCTCGCCGGTGAGCGGGCGAGGCGGCGCCCGAAACCTCAACGGGTTTGAGTGGCCCGTATGGTGCGAGATTAAGAGATTTCGTATAGTTTTAGGTTTTGGGCCCGTTTGGGGCACATATATACTTTGCTCGTTTTTCTGATCATTGTAACGAGTTGAGTGGCTGTAAACCGAAAATATAGTGAAATCTCTTTGCAGGACATAGCCCTAATCGAAGGTGAACCTGGGTAAATTCGTGCATCGTCTATTTTCTCTGATTTCTACGTGATCGTTGTGTTTCGATTCTCGCTACATCCCTTCTCCTATGAGCTTCCGTTTCTCTTGGGTTTGCTCTGTTTCTGGAGATGGAGGTATGAGAAATCTAGCAGAGAGAGAGAGAGAGAGGAACTTCAACTTCACGGGCTCTTCCTTGCGTAATTTTCTTGATTCTCTGGTGCTCAAAGCATGGCCTCTTTGACTGTACTATTGATATCCCCCCTCTCGTCCTTCATTCTCTGACACTTACGGTGCTTATGGAATCCATTCTGGAGCAGAAATTCTGCTCCAGAATGCATTCCGAAACAGAAATGCGTTTGTTAAAAAAATTTTGGAATGCATTCTGGAGCAATTTTTGCATTCTGGAATAAAAAAGCGTTTGGTAAAACTTCATTCTTTTTTTTGCTCTAGAATGAATTTTTGCTTCCAGAATGAGTTTTGGCCCAAAAAAGAGAAGCTACTTTTTGTAGCTTCTCTCTTCCAGAATGCATTCTAGCCCAAATTTCCTTTTTTACAAGAAATAAACAATTTCAAAAAATGAAAAAATCAAAAATTTCAAAATTTCACAAAATGGCTTAGAATACGGCCATCCACTTTGAGTGAAATTTAAATATTTTGAGGTGCCAAAAAAAATCAAAAAATCAAAAATTTCAAAATTTCACAGAATGGCTTAGAATACTTGCGGTTACCCACTTTCAGTGGAATTTAAATTTTTTTAGGTGCCCAAAAAAATAAAAAAAAAAAATCAAAAACTTCAAAATTTTACAAAATGGCTTTGAATATCTGTGGCCACTCACTTTGAGTAAAATTTAAATTTTTTGAGGTGCCAAAAAAAATCAAAAAATATAAAATAAAAAATTTTACAGAATGATTTAGAATACCTGTGGCCATCCACTTTGAGTGAAATTTAAATTTTTTTAGGTGCAAAAAAAATCAAAAAATCAAAAATTTCAAAACTTCACAGAATGGCTTAGAATACTTGTGGCCACCCACTTTGAGTGAAATTTAAATTTTTTCATATGCCCAAAAAAATAAAAAAATTTCAAAACTTCATAGAATGGCTTAGAATACCCGTGGCCACCCATTTTGAGTGAAATTTAAATTTTTCGAGGTGCCCAAAAAAATAAAAAAATCAAAAACTTCAAAACTTCACATAATAGCTTAGAATACCTGTGGCCATCCACTTTGAGTGAAATTTAAATTTTTTGAGGTGCCCAAAAAAAATAAAAAATTTCAAAACTTCACAAAATGGCTTAAAATACCTGTGGCCACCTACTTTGAGTGAAATTTAAATTTTTTGAGGTGCCCAAAAAAAAGAAAAATAATAAAAAAATAAAAATTTTCAAAATTTCACAAAATGGCTTAAAATACATGTGGCCACCCACTTTGAGTGAAATTTAAATTTTTTGAGGTGCCCAAAAAATAAAAAAAAATAAAAAATTTCAAAACTTCACAGAATGGCTTAGAATATCTGTAGCCACCACTTTGAGTAAAATTTAAATTTTTGAGGTGCTTAAAAAAAATAAAAAAAAAAAAATAAAAAAATTCAAAACTTCACAAAATGGGCTTAGAATACCTGTGTACCACCACTTTGAGTGAAATTTAAAATTTTTTAGGTGCCAAAAAAAAATTAAAAAAAATCAAAAATTTCAAAACTTTACAGAATGGCTTATAATACATGTGGCCACCCACTTTGAGTAAAATTTAAATTTTTTTAGGTGCAAAAAAAATCAACAAATCAAAATATATTTCTGTTCCAAAAATCAATTTCTGGAGCAGAATTAGTCATGTTTTACCAAACAGATTTCTCCTCCAGAAATTAATTTCTGGCAAGAATTCCAGAAATCAATTTCTGGCAAGAATTTGATTTCTGGAGCAGAATGGTTACCATTCGCACCCTTAGCTTCAAAAAGAAAAAAAAGCCACGAACTTTCTGCAATTTGGTGGAGCATAAAGGCGATCCTGCTTGTGCCCATTTGAATTCACGGCTGTTCTTGCCTGAAGTCTACAAATCTTTTCAGGTCTCTCCCTCTCTCTCTCTCTCCAAATATCTTTTTTCAATCCTTCTTTTTCATTTATAATTATGTGAGGGTCTTTGTTTCTTGGTGTTTCTTCTTTGCAGATTGAGCTGTTGTTGGGGCCGTATGCATAGAGAGAGCAGATTTTTCTCAGAGAGAAGCTTTTTTAATGGCGGAACTTAGTTCTTTCTCTTTACCATCTCCCGGAAATAATTACAAGAAAGTCACCGGATCATCTTTTTTCAGCTTGCCAAGGCTATTCACTAGCTTCACTGTGAAGGGTTCTCTGAAACCGACACTGCGATTAGTCCCACTTCAGTTCTTGACACCAAACCATTCTCATTCTCGACCATCAGAAACTACTTCTGGTCTGATAACACCAGCACTTCGTCTTCTTCACCCAGAAACACAGACACAGAGCACAAGCGCTCTTACTGGGAAAAGAAGAAGATAGAATCAGTAGGAATTGGCCTAGGCATTGTTGATGCTCTGAAAGACGAGAGCTTTGACCCGAAGCAACCTAAACCCGAGACCCGGCCTGTCGTCATCTTCGGATCGAAGCTCAAGATCCAAGTCCCTTCCCTGCCATTCTCTGTCCCTCCCAACCCCGAGTCGGCGAGCCCAAGGTCTCCACCCAATTTTGGGATCAAATCGAGGAATTCCCAGCTTGGTTTTGCATCACCGCGCATTTCGCGGTCCCCAGATACGAAATCCCGTTCCGGGTCATCCTCCAATTCGCGTGGCCTGGGTGTGCCCGGCTCGCCCCAGATTTTGAGTGCCAGTGAGATGGAGCTCTCGGAGGACTACACTTGCGTGATCTCCCATGGCCCGAACCCGAAGACAACGCATATATTCGACGATTGCATTGTCGAGAGCTGCTGTGGTGTTTTTGGGGTTGCCTCTGATTTGAAGGAGAATGGATTTTTGAGTGATGAGCAGAGTAGTGGTTCTTTGTCACAGAGTTTTCTTAGCTTCTGTTGCACCTGCAAGAAGAATCTTGGGCAGGGAAGTGACATTTATATGTACAGGTTAGTTCAAACTTTCAAGTTCTGCAATTTTGTTGGGGCATCATTTTGAGTGATTTTTGAGTGTGATCTATTGAATTTGAGCACTTTTTGGACACTTTTGCGATGAATGTGGAAAGAGAGCACGTGCAACTGAGAATCCCTTTCCAAATATGGTAACC